AGCAACTACACGGACGAAAAAATTTCTGAAAGTAGATTTGAACCATCCGATAAGATTAATATCACGAGGGGACTATTTGCAACTACAAGCGGCCAAGAATAAGTCGAGATAATAAGTTTCCAACCCTTATAATGTATCATCTACGAAATTTGCCGTTCCTAATTCTTCCCTAGCAATGAAACAATAACCAATTTCTAGTCTATTCGAAAACAACGAAAAACAACGCGGCTTTATCAAGAGAGCCAAATTTAGTCGAATCGATTTATATTCGACCGAAAATTAAGCTCTCAGAAACACGATCCAACGAAGAGCCATTTCTTCGGTTTCACCACCAATATTTTCTTATCGATATAATTTTTTGTCGGTAATATTTCGTCGTAAATAAGCGAACTTTATTGCCAATAACAATAATTTACGAACACGCAAAAATTGGCGAAATAAATGTTATCGGCCGCCCTAAAAAGAACGAGTATCGTGTTTGCGATTTCCGCAACAGTTGGAAGAAATGGAGAAGTTATTACTATATTGTTTTTGTTATGCGTTCGCATGTGAAAAAAAAAGTTGAAAAACATGCGGCAAAACATTAATATACAATCGCGATAAGCAATCATAAAATCTTATTTTCAAATCGTAGAAAATTTTCAGAGTGAATGTCATAATAATTTTATCAAACTGTACATATCAGATAAATCCTCTTGTGATGTTAATCACGTAATTAGTGATATTAAAGTTTAGCATAAAGAGCTGATCAAGTTACTTATAGCGTCGATTATAATAACGCCAATGTCACGGACGTTTTTGTATTTTTAAAATACATTTTGTATTTTAATAACATAATTATTTGCAATATGTTTTTAATAGTAAAGAATAGTTATATAAATGCGTAAAATCAAATATATAAATATGATTTCTCTAAATATTAAAAATGTAGTGCATCGATTGTCTAGACAAAGTCCAGACAGAGAAAATGAAAGATTCAAATTATGCAAAATAATATTTCAAGAAATAATTTTAAATCTTTCTAAGTGTCGTCTTTCGTTTTTCTCGCCAGTGCGTGAATTAATTTCATGGTTGCTGATTAGTAGTTGAGACCTGTTACAAGTTGCGGAGAGGCTTGATAATCACATCCGTCATTCCCAGAAAGAAATTCGCCTTCAATTTACTGAATCATCACAAACTGACACATATAATGTATTCCATATAATAAAATTATGTAACATTTAAAATTATTTTATTTCTTCTTTGCTTAATCAGATTATATATATATATATATATATATATATATATATATATATATATAATAATATATATATATAGAAATTAATCTCAATTAATTAATCTCAAATATACAGATTATATGTAACGATTATCTTGAATCCAATTATCAAAGATTAAAACAAATTTTGCGAATTAGTTGAAAGTTTTTATTTGCCACTTGACGCACTGTAAAATCGTTCTTTTTTATAAAAATTCTTCTTTTTCAAGCCTCTCCGCTTTCTCTCTGCAGGTTCCCTATTTTTTGCAGTTTAAGTTTTATCGAATTTGGGTAACAAAATAAAAATTCATAGTTTCTCATAACCAATTGTTAAATAAAATCTCGCATTGACTAACTCATAATAATCGCGCGAATTAATAAATCGCAGTAATCTTGCTTCGTAAAATTCAAATAAGGTACTCACCAGGGTGTTCTGATATCCCAGTCCATAATCCTCGCTCTCTCTTCGATCGGCCATCTTGACTTTCTATCCCGTGGGAAAAGAGTAAAAAACTCAAAAAATGTTTTACTCGCTCAGGAAAACGCCGTCAACAGCAGGGTGGAGGCAGGATAGTGGAGAGGAGATGAGCGTAGATGGGAAGACTCGCGGTGTCCAACTACAATTTAACGCTTGATCCACGATTAAGTGTCAAAGATGCTCGGTCTTCTCCTTCCTTGTTCCTTCCCGTTGCGGCAATTTGTCAATGATACACCTTATCATGAATGTACGACACCCTGGCGTCAGGAAAACTTCCGGAATCCCGATTTTTTATCAAATTCTTCGCGAGCGTCGCGGTGGGAAGTCAACGGTTGATTACACAATGTTTGTTAATGAAGAAATAGGTCAAAGCCCAGCGAGAAAAATTTTCTCTCTTGAAAGCAATCTCTAGTAAACAAAAAAAAAAAACTGAACTGTTATTTCACAACTTGAAAATAATTATTAATTATTGCAGACAATTTTACATGTAATTTGTACTACAAATACAAGATATTTCTTGCATTTTAATCTCGAGGGTTAACGATTTTGTCAACTTCGTAACGTGCTTCGAATTAATCGTGTCGATAAGACCGTGGTCCAGAAATAACCTTGTCATTTATGTGCTTCGTGAAATTGATACATTTACTATTCCCGCGACTGTGTCTGCGAACCGGCGCGACGAAAAGCATCCGTGCGATCGAATCTCGTGCACTGGCAATTCATATTGCGGTGACAGCGCGCTTTCTTAGAAAACGCGTGAAAAGCACTTATAAAACGCGTCATATAATCGCAATTGATAGCGCTTTCGCGACGATGTTAACAGCGCGAAGAGAGTCGCGACTTTGATAAAAGAAGGCTCAAGATATCGTCCAGTCATTATGCAAACACCGACCTGCTGTAACGATCGGCAACGAATAAACTAGCTGCCCGACAAATAAAAAATTAGTCACCGATCCTATTGCACTTTCCGATCGGCGTTGTAACGCGATCGTTTCTATATTACATTCAGAACGGACTTTCGAGCTAGTAAATATTGACGATGAGAACGTTTCGAGAACCAAATACGCTTATCACGACAGTTCGAGGTTCTCGTTCATTCGTTATCGATAGAGCCGGTCGTTTTCGTATTAACGATTTTTCGAATCGTATTAAATACTCCGTAAAATAATATTCAAAAAAATGCCTTACTTGTCGAACTTCGTGCCTCCGAAATCTTTGACCGATTGGAGCGGTGAAGCGCGCAAGATTAATCTTCTTAATCTTAATCTTCAAAATTCATCGTGTTATTTGTGCGCGAAAACGACAGCGAGTGGTTGGTTTCGTGTACGTGGCGAATTTGGCAGAGTGCAGGACTTTTCTGTCAAAGATCGATGATTGGATCGTCGCGACTGACAACGCGTGAGATCTTTCGTGACGCGGCGAGCGCGACGCTTCGCGTGCGCCTCTGACTGCCCGGCTGGACGGTCGCGAGCCGACTGATAGGTATATGAATGAAGCGGACAAGATTTCAGTCGACAGTGTTTGCGAGCAAATTCAAAATTCTACATCGGCGATGACGGCATGAGCGATAATCGTCGGCGCTGTTGCCCGCGATTGCTCCTGCGATCGATCGTTCGAACTAGCATTCGATGACGTAAAGTCATGTTTAAACAAAAATGTAACGTAACAAAGTTTCGCTCTTTGAAACAACAAACATGTGAATTTTGAATGACAACTTCTGTTCTATCGAATTTTTCTCGTCGAATTTTCTTCGCAAATAGAATTTTAATACAATCGACCATTTTGCCTTTATTTCTAATAATCCTTACACGAAAAGCAGTTTTAGAACAAAAAAATAAGTTTACAATAAGCGAATCTTTCTGATTTCTTACGCCATCGCAAATTTAGAACTTATTGATTCGTAAGATCATAAATCAGAATTACAACCGAGTAGTCTGTTAATTATTTTCAAATTGACACGGCGATTAATATCAATATAATGGCTATCCATACTCAAGCACTAAGGATACTCTTAATTGTCAAGGAAAATATGCGTTGAAAGTGACCTTTCCTATAGACATGATAAAAAAATGTCACTTAGCTTTTCCATGATTCGGCGAGAAACAAGTAGGTCAGTTTTATGAACATGATAATTTTCAATGAATACAATTAATAAGTTAAGCCGTGGACGATGACCTTTTCCTTTTCCTTGTATTATCATTACCTCGTTCGCACGCGATATAAGCTACTTTTACAGAATACGAATAAAGGCGATCGACCTTGACCATCAATTTGCCATTGCATTAATTGATGCAAAAACAATACTAATTAATTATCAAATACTTCAATCTCACGTAACATTTGAATCGTCAGTGACGCTTTCCAGATCACAATCGGACGATCGAAAGAAAATAGATAACAAAAGCATATCAATGTTTGATATCGATATGTCGACATATATTTTACATCACCTACATCCGTCGCAAATAATTTATTATATACTAAAATACAAATTTCTCATAATAATATTACTACAAATAAAAATGATTTGTTCTTTTCTCTATTTTAATTTAATATTTAAATGTTATTGTTTTTCTTGCATTATATGAAATATTAAGCATACAAATTTTGCATAATTTATACCGCGCTACTGAACATCGAACTCTTTATATTCATGCGAATTACGTTATTTGTGACCTCCATTTGTTAAAGGTTTTTCCCCGTTGATCTATGCATACCGTTTATCGCGCGTCTACGTCGTGTAATTTCTTTTTTTTTTTACGACGCAATCAACGGCACTACGAACAAACGCTGATTAAACGAGCCTTCTCAGCAAGAGCGATTCTAAACTTCCGATTTTAACGACACAAAAAATTATTTATTAGTGAATGAGAATAATATTCCAGCAAAATTTCGTCAGATCAAAAATCGATGTTAATTCCATCAGACAAAAATGTCTAAAGTAAACATTTACGAACATTTTCTAAGCATGCAATCGAAATGGAATACGAAAAAAACCATATGGCCGTAATAAAAACACTGTGGATTACCGTCGTTTAACGTAGTGCTCGCTTTTACGATGCTGAGAAATGAGATGACTCATACAGTTCCTAATGACGCCAATATAATTGGACGTAATATTGTAAATGAAGAAAATTATGCTAATTGCTTATTGTATAATACGTAATCATTATAAAAAAAAGTCGCTACACTGGTTTGATTTCAATTATTGTGATGGAATAGACGGAAGAGGCTGCAGGAGAGTCAATATTAACAGACTCAATCGGAAAGAGTACAAACATCATATATTATATATCAATAAATTCATAATAAGCAGTGTTGTAACAAGATTAACATTGTAAGAACACCAGACAGTTTCATTATATATATTTTTTAAAAGAAGGCCACCCGTATTAATACTGGCTGTTAGTCTAATAGTTGTGCGTGTCGATGTAATATTCAAGTCAATCTCAAAAATATATTTTTTGTTCCCAATTTTATGTGACGACATTGTGTTGTTTTTACAGTCCCCGCTATACATACTTCACCATAATGCAACTTATACTAAAAGGATCTCTTGATCGAAATGACCCAACTCTTTCCTTTGGTACAACATTATCATTTTGGAGTATTGTCAGAGTCTGAAGACGAACTTGGTACGACCGAAGCTATCGTAAACGTTAAAAGAAAAATAAATAACTGTGTAACATTAAAGAGTGCAAGCTTGTGAGCTTCCACTATGTACTTACCGATGATGATAATTAAGATAACAACACATATGATACCAATGATAATCATCATTTTGAGATTCTTCCACCAGTATTTTCGCTTCAGTTTTCCAGCATGCTGTTCGAACTGCGTCGCGCCTTGCTGCAGGGCATCTGCACGGTTCTCAAGCTCTGAGAGCTTCTGATCTCGCTCTAATACTTTCTCCACGTTAACCTTCATTATACCCACAACCTCGTCCACAGTTGCTTGCGTTTGTTGCAGCTTTTTGCTAGCTCCCGCTTGCTGCGTATTGTGTGGACCACCCTCTCCTTCTCCTGTGCCTTCCATGATTTTGAAAATAAATCAAATAGACCCCACAACTATCCTGTAATTAGAAATTTGTTATCCAACTGTATTAATTTATGATCACCATGTACACGTTTCTAATCTAGATAAAACAATGTAAAATATAACACTTTTACAACAATTTAAAAAACATTGTGTTATTACAGAAATGACAGGTACACGCCCATAACCTCAAAAGCATACATATGTTTCCAAACAAGGCCTATTTTTACATATGCCGGTCCATCAAATTATTTATCGCTTTCTCTTCTTAACAAGTAAGGAAATTTTGAATATATAGAAATAAAAATACTACGAAATAGAAACATAATAAATGATACAATTATTGTAGAATCATCAGTTAAATCATATGACTTTCACAGTAATAATATTATAATGATTTTGATATTGCACGCGAAACAATTGTCTCACTCACCTAAAAATGTATCAAGCACGGAAATAAATCTACGATAACTGACAAAACAACTCTCTGCAGACAATTAAATCTCGCAGAATTACTACGCTGACGACTACAATCCACACGACAACAGTCGATGACACAGATCGAAGATGGCGATAATGATGACGTCATGTGAATATTACGGCTGCGTTCAGTTTAGATGCTTACACGCTGTAAGCGTTTATGCTTATAAGTGCTATTTGCGTTTATTCAGTTTCTAAGTTTTTGCTCACATCGAAAGTAATAAAATCGTTCGCTTTGACTGTATAAGCAATTGTAAGCGCGTAAAAAAATTAATAATTATAGCATTTGCACAAGCATTAATTTTATTAGACTATATCAATAACGAAAATTATAATTCTATAAAAAAAAATTAAAAAATTGTTCGCTTAATCTTTCTTTAAATATTCATTCTATTAACAAGTCAATACACCTTGATTGCAAAATTATGTAGCACACATTATATCAGCTTATACGATAAACAGTTTAAATTGAATTTTAAATATGTCCAATAATTAAGTAATACTAAATAATTTAACAATTAAATTTACAAATAAATATATTTTATTTTGTTATTTTCTAGAGTAACAATTTCATACCTTTATATAGAATTAATCAATTTTTAATTATTTGTTACATTTATCACTTTCAATAACAAGATTAAAATCGAGTCCAATAATAAATCTATTTTAAATTTTGCTCATTATGATGCGTCCTAATATGAAGATCAATCGTTTTCCATATTCTTTCTAAGATCTCATTTTGAGGAATCATGATGATAATATCTGAGAGCATCTCTATAATGTTCTTGGGTTTCTTATGAGTATTGTTTCTACAGTATTGATTCCAAAAATTAACAGACTTCTTAAATGGAAAACTTATCAGTGTCTTCCTGATATGGATTATCAGTTTCCTATCCAGCATGGAAATGTTATTATAAGCCATAATCTTAAATATAGCTACAATTTTTTGGTATTCAGGACAGAATCTGTCATTCGTTTGATGATCACTTCCGCAGTTGATACATTTTGTCTGAAGAGAGTACTTTGGGTCTTTTGAATGATTGCCAGCACATGTAAGACAAGTTTCTTTTCCTTTATATCTTATTATAGTGCCTGAATTTGCCGCATTTAAAGCAAAGCTTTATTTTGGGGAATAAGAGAATCACTTCCAAGCTAGTAATTAATCAATCTTCTGAGGCAGTTCTTCACCTTTGAATTCAATGTGATATTGAATATACATATTGAATTTGACTTGATCCAAGAATTTGTGTTGCTACTACTTCTTAATCTAAACATTTTGTTTATCCTAACGTGTGTATTCTCTTCTTCTATGATTCCTTTAAAGGTTTCCAGCAAAATATTCAATAAAATATTGCAAATAATCCCTTTACTGAATAACTTAAAGCGAGAAATACAAGCAATGTAATTCATATCTTTTAAAAATTGATTCTTAAGCACATTATTAGCATAAGATCTTGTTTCAATTGTTATCTGCCATGTGTGACGTGAATATACAGAGATATCTGAAGAGTTTACACCTGCTTTGTTGAAATGAAAAGAGAAAACCTGACTAAGCACACCCATTTTGTCGAGATTTTAGACTTCTTAGATTCAATAAAGATGATGTAAGGTTTCTTTGAAGAAGTATTATGCAAATTTATTGAGTGATTTTTCTCATTTTCTTCCTCCTCAGACTCAGTTATTTTATTGTTATGTGAGGCAGATCACGTTGTGGTAATGGCCTTACCTGATTTTTCATTGAGTTATTTAGTGCCTCATTAATCTTCAAATCAGAATGAGACAGCTTTTCCTTCTTCATAATCTTAGAAGTCAATGTTGATTTGCGAGTCATATTCATTTTTAACTTGGATGTTTCCAAGAATACTTTTTCTGTATCTTCTCTTTTTCTTTCCGTTTATGTGTTTCTTTCCATTTTCTCAACGTTATCTTTGCTCATCTCTGCCTTGCATAGTATAAGAAATTCTCTCAAATCTTTTTCATTAAAGGCAATTAAAGGTTTCGAATGAGGAGGGCAAGTACCGGTCCCCGGATTGATATTCTTGGTTTACGTTTAAGTTAGGTGCCTTCAATGTTTCTCACGTGCAGGACAGATATATTAAAAAATTAACTAAACTAAAGTTATTTGGGTAACTCAGGAAAAGAACTTCAGCCTTTTTTCTCGGTTCACTTCCTTTTGCAAAAGTTGTTGACAGTTTACAAAAGTGTTTTTTTGCGCCATCTAAAAGAGATGAGTAGAGTTACGTTGGTAAAAACGGTAGTCCACTAATTCAGAACCCAAATCACTGATGTGATATAGCGGCAATTTTCCTCGTTACAATTATTAATGCAATGGCTCAATAATTAATATTAAAATATACAAACATAAATAAAATAATATTTAATCCACACAACAGTGATTATATTAAGCTAATTGCATTAGAGTGCGTATAGTTAGCATATAGCGGCATGCATCAGACAATACATCATTGTTAAAAAATATGGAGCTTCAAATCTCTTCATATTCATTAGATAAATATGTAATATACATTTATTATCGTCATATTTCTACGTTATCACGTAAAATATTTGTTCAAAATAGCAAGCGTACACGTACACAAACGAGAAAAATAAATGTAAAAATAGAAAAGTTTCCTTCTTATAAATTGCTAATAATAAAATCAAATTATAGTTAAATTCTGCATTAAATTTCTACTGAAACGCGTAATAATAATCGTGATGTTATTTCAGGCGTCCATTTTTGTTGGCTAGAAAGTAAAGTTAAATGGTCTTGAGGATCACGATAATGGTTTCAATGACAATGCAATAATATAAACTATTTCTGCAAGGCAATCACTTACCGCCATAAGCTGCAATAATCGGGCGTACGAGCAGTATCGCAGAAGTCGCATCTTCGACACGTAACATTCACCGAAGTTCACCAACGTAACTCACGACGAAAATCGCGACGGTGGTATAAAACATCTTGCGAATGCTCGTGCGCGTATTTGCATTACGTTGCCAGGAACGTACACGAAGCACGGTTTCGATCTATCGAAGTCGAAGAGCGCGACAAGACTGTTATGACTTCGTTTTTCTAGTCAATATTTTTCCTCGACGCATTAATAAACGTTAACATTCAAAATTCATGTCACTATCATGCTATCTATAATATTTTTATCAGCAAAACATCCATTAACACTAAAATATATTATTAATTGAGATTCTATTTCAAGTAATTATCGATTCATTTATACAATCTAATTAAAGATTTAATCAAAGAATCGAAGAATCAGTGAAAAATTTTTCTACAATAGATTCATTGTAGAGAGATT